AGGAGGAGGGGGAGGAGCCCCCATCCCGGGTAAAGGGGGAGGAGGAGGGGGAGGAGCCCCCATCCCGGGTAAAGGGGGAGGAGGGGGAGGAGCCCCCATCCCGGGCAAAGGGGGAGGAGGGGGAGGGGGAGGAAGACGCGGGGCCCCCATCCCAGGTAAAAGGGGGGGAGGAGGGGGTGGAGGAGTGGGTGGAGGAGGGGGAGAAGCTGTGGCAGGGGGCGGACCATGTTTTGGAGCTGCTGAGGCTTCTGATTGGCCAGGAGTAACGCTGAGGGGTTGGGTCTGCACCGCTCTGTCCACAGTCCTAATCTTTTGATTGGATGAGAGAGATTTTGGGAGGAGCCTATCCAGCAGAGAGTCACCAGGGCCTAAATCAACTAGAAACCACCAAAGAACACAGAATTAGATGCAGCGTCCCAATAAAGACTGGAGATGAAGTCAGATTATCTGCTTTTAATCTAAGTCTTCAAACGGCGGATTGTCTTTGAAAATGAAGGATGAGAACCTTTGAATTTTACGGTTATCTCTGATCTTATGGTGCTCTGTCTATCTGTCTCATGTCAAAGAGCCACCATTACAGACAAGTTATTCTTTTTTACTCTGCAGTATTTTATTTTTAAAGTCATGAAGATTTTACTTGTCTCATAAGATTTATGTTTGTGTACAAATGTAGCGGCGGCCTTCATACCCTGACATCCTCTGCAAACTAAAAATAAAAGGAAGCAGGTTATTTTTTCACACACAATGCGCTTCGGACCCCAAACCGGACTCACCATCCTGGGCCAGCAGCACGGCTCGATCCGTCAGCGTCTCCAGAGCCGACCAGAGGTCGGCCCTTTCTGGGTCCACCGTCCACAAGGCCTGAAGGATGGACAGCAGCTGGACCGAGGACGGACAGCTGGACACCTGTCCTCACAGACATGGAAAAGCCCAGTGAGACAAACTCCACAGTGTTTAACCAGTGGACCAGTGCGACTGAATGGAAAATCCTCTAACTTCCTAAAACTCTGCCTTTTCTATTTTCCTGGATCAGTTTCCGAAGAAGAACCAGGTGGACGGAACAGAAACAAAATGGCCGACACCACGCCTAGAAATCTGCTGGGAGATGTAGTTCTTCAGTAAAGGTGGAGCAAATAGGGAATAATGATAAAGGTTTCCAGGGGTGGTTCATGATTCTGGTGTTCTTTGATCAGTAGACTGATGGAGAACAGAGATAAAAGCAAAACTCCAGTAATTAAGAGCTCATTGGGTTCGGCTGAGATGCTGTTTGGTTGTGGAACCGTTATACAGCTGTGACTCAGTCACTGAGTCAGTGCATTTCTGGAAATGGTCACAGAGTCATGGCATTTCTCGACCCGGTCACTGAGTCAGTGCATTTCTGGAAA